GTGTGTGTCGACACCCACGCTCCACACCCATAGTGGAACGAAACCTCTTACACAACTGTTTACCTCCAGAATAGCTGAATAGCGCATTAAAGTATTATATGATCGATGTAACAATAACCAAATTACGGCGGAAGAATTATTACATTGACTTTCTTTTTTTTCTATTGCCAATGAAAAATATAATAAAACTCAGTTTATTATAACAAATTATATTACATGATTAATATTATCATCAAGTGTTACTTACGTTTTACTGAAAGGATATTTTGATAGTGGAGAAATATTTTTTTTCGGAGGACCATTTCTTAGGAATATTTTTACCAAGAAGATTTTTGCTGAAGGACATTTTTTCAAAGGACGTTTCAACCTATTACCGTTCAGTCCATATAATATCGAACTCCGAACCCTCCTTTTAGTAACTAACTAAAAATGACTGCAGTCAAAACTGAGCTTCCAAACTGGACCTGAATGCTCGAGTTCGATGCATGTCTATTCATGAATAAACAAACAGATAAAGAAAGAAATACGTGTCAAAAAAAATATATCGTTACACTGTTTTCGAAAATCACAGTGCTGTATGACTTATATGTGAACAATGAAAAAGACGGAATCTCTATTTGTCTTCAACACATATGTAAGACAAAAATAACCATTATATATATTGTATGTTAATTATGATTTATGGTTGACATGAACGCTATATCAATATCAAAATTGAATTGATCAACAATGCCAAAATAGAATATAGATAAACGAAAAATTTTGTCTTTACTTATGCAACAAAATATCCAATAACAAAATATTCTTATCATAATAATACGTGAAGCTTCTTAAAATTCCAATCATTTTCTTTCCATATAAAGATATAAATTTGTTGATCAAACATTTGTTACTCAAATTACTGACAACTTCATATCGTTCAATTCTTTACACACACACATATTCCTTGTCACAGACCGTCATCATTAACTCTACACATGAAGAATTTATGCAAATTGACTCAAAAAAGAAAACCTTCAAATAAATTTTAATTTTCTTTTCTATTGATTAATGTAAACTAACAACAAAGCCGATCTAGATGTTTTATTGAAATTTTTTTATAGATAAAAATTTATTTTTTACAAACTCAATCATCCTTTTTGTTAAAATGAAGTTCACTTGTTTCAATTTTGTTGTCAGAGACGAGTGATCAAAATCTTTGTTAATAGAGTGAAACAAAATTATTTCATGCATAATCAATCATTATTATCAAAGCTGATTGAATACTTAGTTATTGTCATATTCTTGATTAAGATCTTTGTCTAAGATAATTGTAAAGAAACGTCTTATTATACGTTAAAAAAAACTATTACATCACTTCGAGATATTAACTTAGAATATGTAATGATAAGAAAAGCATATACATATGTTCATGTCTATCACATTGTAGAGTTTCTCTTAATAAATGTTGTTTAAGGTTTCGTCAACTGTCTCGGCAAAGCCATAGTTGAAAAGAAGAACAGATAAAACGAATTCCATCTGGTTTATTGCATCATTTTCTCTTGAAAATGGAAAGGAGCGAAAAAAAAACGATTATTCAACAAACAATCTAAAGTGAACTCGTATTTGTTTAGTCCAAAAAAGAAGTTTTCATTGAAATCAATAATAATGTAATCGATCTAGTTGTAATAAACGAATAATTTGATGTGTGTGATTACCATTATTAAAAAACTATGAAATACAACAAATAATAGTTAGTTATGATTAGTAATCGGATTGTTATTTGTGTGTCTGCATGCATCAACTTGAACTGATTGAAAATGACGTCGTCATTGGGTGCCAAATGTCTATATATATATATATATATATACGATACAATAATGATTTGAAAAAAATTTTATTCTTTCTTCTCTTTTGATATAAACGTCTCCATTTTCTTTTATTTTTTCTTCATTTGATGTCGGTCAAAAAAATCTCTTTCTCTCCTTTTCACACTCGTTCGTTACCCCGATCGGTCGGACAGTTGAACTACGTATGCTCGCTACACATATACGTTTGACTTATTCTCTTCTCTTCTCTCCTGTTCAAAATGGACACGCAATTTGAAATAGAGTAAGAGAGAAAAAAAAAAAAAGAAAATGAGAACAGACGAATGAAATGATTTGAACATGTCACAACTTCAGTTGGAATGTAATCATCAGCTAGTTATATAGGTAAAGTATTCTCTCTCTCTCTCTCTCCCTCTTATAAACAATACATGTTTTTTTGTTCCCTTTTTTTGACAGGTTATTCGATGGCAATATCATCAGGTTAATCTTTCTTCGCAATATTTAAGACTCTTAAATGGTCACTTATTATTTTTTTGTTAGGTCATTTCCTTGAGTCTCCGTGTATATACATATATTCATTTCCTTTTTTTTATGGGATAAAGATGTGAACAGTTGTGTCAATCTTAGATAGGTCACCTAATGAGTGTAACCTCCGTTTGTGTGATGATCATCAATATTGAGAAAGGATTTGTCTATTGTGAAAGAAGATGACCCAGATTTGATACACTGAGAATATTCATTTCATAGTGAATAAATGTCTTTACGCTATATTTAAATGAGTTTATAATCAATTTATTGATATTGAGATGAATATGAATGACTGCATAGATATTTATAATATGAAAAAGTAGGTGAGAATACATCGTTTATAATTGTACTTTATTTTATTTTTTAGAAATAATCTTACTTGAATTTTTCATTTTTTATTTTTGAGAATATTATTTTAGTTCTAAATAGAATAACACTTAAATTTGAATTATTTTATTCTCTCTTCAAAATTCAATTTATAAAATTAAAAGTAACATACAAATTGAAGATACTTATGTACTCGTTTATGTAATTTTTTATTTCATTGATGTCATCATCACTTTCTCTCTTTCTCTGTATTTCTCTAGGGAGTATTTCCATCATATGTACACAGATGTTGAGAAGATCTCTCGACCTTCATTTGACTCTTAGACTCATTACAATTACTGTTCTTTTTTTCTTTCGTTTCAGCATATGTAGTTTTTTTTTTTACAACATGTTCAAGGTTTTCACTCTCTCTTTCAGTACCGTTACACAGATGCTTTATAGAAACCATTATGAGAACAGGCCACCCAATTATTATCTTTTTCTATATGATGTTAAAAGAATAAAAGAAAAAAAAAAAAAAACAAGATTACATCACGATAGACCCTATGTTCACGCGTATGAATTCATATAGATTCTAATCTAAACTAATTTGTTATTTATAGTTAACGATAAAAATAACATTTTTTTTTTTTATAAAATAGGAGAATAGATTAGTAAATATTCGTTCTTTTTTTTTTTTTATTAAATGTGAATATTGAACAAGCTTATCAGATTTTACCGCTTATACGTGTTGAAGATTAAAAATCAACACGAAGGTGGAGTGAGTAATAAAGGAAACAAACAATACTGATAATACATATATATATTAACATATAAATCATATTTCTCGTCATTTGTTCGAGCATCCAATAAAAAAAAAGTAGGATGATTTTATCAATATGATTTTTAATATTTGATCATTTTTTTTTTCAGGTAAAAGAAAAAAAGGAAATTCAATTGTTATATATTATCTTTTCTTATTTTGATGAAGAGACAAGCGTGTCGTTTCGTTGACCATCACACATTATACCGTTGAGTTTTATTTGCTCTTCATTCTTTCGTCTCATACATGCATCTTAACGAGAGACAGACTATAGGTCACTTTCTCCTATCGTTTCGTTAATATCACGTACATTTGTCAGGATTGTTTTTGTTGATGTTCATCATATATACACACCTTGAAAAAAAAAGAAAAGAAAAGAAAAGAAAAGAATGAATTCGCCTAACGAGTTTATATAGAAATATCTTATCTTCTTGTGTCCAATATTCAGGTTAAGATAAAAGTTTTTTTTTTTTTCATGATATAATACAAAAAGAAAAGAGAGTAACTACCACCATAGGATATAATTATCTTGATAAATAGAAGAATTCTATTATCTGATTGTTTAATTCTTGAAGAATATTGTGAAAAGATAGGCGTTAGAGTAACTGTTTTCGTCTGTTTGTTTCAAATGAACATCGACCGTTAAGCTTATTCGTTGTTTCTTTGTCGTTCTTTTCTTCTCACCTTCACACAGAAGCCAGATTGAACAGGTTAACAAGAAGCGAAAGTAAATAAATCGAATGAGAAAAAAAGAGAAAGAAAGAAGCAAAGAATCAGATTACAACAACGCGTGTTCATTGAGGATCTTTTTTCAACAAACGACTGTTCAATTCTTTCCCTCTTTTTTTTCATGACTATTGTAAACTATATCTACTTTTATGTATTCGAACTGATTCATATAAAACTTTATTCTATACATTACAAATACAATGAATTATAATGTAAGTTCATATAAAATTATTGAGAAATTTAAGAAATTCGAACAATTTTAAATATATATCCTAAGAAATGATTCTTTTTTTTTATTTAAAAACAGTGTATTATTTGTATAAAAATTGTTATCACTATTATTTTGTTTTGAGAAAAAATATTTTTAATCAAATAGAATTGAGAAAAGAAAAAAAAAGATATGAAACTTCATTGAAATCATTCTGATTGCTTTTCTATTGTATTGATCAACAAAAAACGAAAAGATCCTTGTACAAAGTAAAATGAGTATTTGTTTTTTTTTTGTTTACTATAGAGAATCTATCCATTTGTCATTGAAGAAGAAAATGAAACTATTCTTCTATCCGTGAATATGTTTATATACATCTCATTTTTCTTTCTGTTGAAATATATCGTAATTAGAAAAGATGTATAAGAAAAAAACATTCGTCTAGACAAGTTAGTAGTTTATATACCATGATTGACAATTTGACTAGTAAAAGTGATGAACTTATTAAATGGTTTATATAATAAAATTTTTATTTAATAAGAAAATATTATATAATTAATAAAAGAAAATTTTTCAGATGGTTAAGTGAATAATTAAAATGGAAAGTGAAATAATACAAATAAATAAAGTACAAAATCAACAAGATGAAAAAGATGATAGTGGAATTGAACAAGATAATAGTTTTATTTATATTCGAATAGCTGTTGAAGATCATAATTTACAGGTATATTTTTCTCGTATTTGATTTATTTTATAAACAATTTTTATTTTTATTTATTAGAAAGTACTTAAATTCAATTTGGATGATACTATATGGAGTGCGAAACAAAAAGTCTTACAAGTTCTTGTTCGAGTAAGTTTTTGTTATTATAATAATGTTAAAGAAAAAAAAAAAAAA